GAGAATTAACAAAGTGACAACAGAAAATGAGTCCTTGCAGAAAGGTTGACCAAAAAACTTCAAGTGTTATAGAAAAGTGTAAATATTGGAAAATAATAAGAGGTTAAATAGCTGAAGTCTATACTAAAAAATTAAGTTAGAAAATTAATAATTTATAACTGTTCTCTAGGATTTATAGTATTGGTTAACCTGCAGAGACCACATGCTGGTTGCTTAATTTGCAGTTTTGAAGTTCGTGTCTGGCTAGGTGTGGGTTGGAGGCTGATTGGGAATGTTATAAATTGCATAGTTTGATTCTGCTGGAGCCCAAAACTGACAATTAACCCTTGAGAAGACTGACAACTTAAGTACATTCCAAGAGAAAGGTTGTCAGTCTTCTCAATGGTTAATTGAGTGCCAGCAAAAGAGAGGCAACAAGAAGAAGAGAGAAGAGTTTTACGTCACCAGTGAAATCTGTTCACACACAGGAGGGAACATTCAGAACTCACGGGGACTGACTTTCGACCCACAAACAGCAAGCATCTAAGTGGAAATCATGAGCACTTCAGTATTCTCTGCCAAATAAAAAGGTTACAAAATTACAAACATCATTTGCAAGAGCTGATAAGACCCTTTTACATGCAGGGGTAACCATATTATCCTACAAGTAATTCCAGAGTTTTTCCTAAACTCTAAAAAATATTCTTTAAAAAATGGTATGCGTTCTAATAACCAACCAGGTAAACTACTCCAAAATGGGACGTGGACCCAGCGTAAAACTTCAAAGCTTGAAAAAAACTGAATGGCTGCGTTAAAATGAGCCCCTTCAATATCCACATAGACCTGGCAAAGGTACATACGGGGGTATTCCATACTCAGACGACATAGCTTAGCAACCTATGAAGTGTTATATTGCCATAGCACACATAAGGATTACACAATGTATAGTAGAAGCTCACTGTGTGGGTCAAAAATGCAGAAACACTGCTTGCTACTACACTTGGTACAAAATAGCGAAAAAATGGTTCCCTTGCTAAAGTTCAAAATAAGTCTTTTTAATAACCCCGGGGAGTATTTTTTAAGAAATAGTATGTGTTTGTGGGGTAGTTTGAATAACAAACCAGCTAAACTACTCCAAAATGTGACATTGACACAGCGTAAAAATTCAAAGTTTGAAAAAACTGGAAAGGCTATGTCTCAAATGTGCCCCTTCAATGTCCATATATACCTGGCAAAGGTAAATATAGGGTTATTGCTGTACTCAGACGACATAGCTGAGCAACATATGAAGTATTATACAGCCATAGCACACATAAGGTTTGCAAAATATACTATGCAAACTCACTGTGTGTGTCAAAAAGGTAGAAAAAATTCTTATTAGCACTAAATTTGGTATAAGCTAGCGGAAAATTATCCCACGCTAAAGTTCAAAATATGTCTTTTGAAATACCCAGGGATGTCTTCTTTAAGAAATGGTGTGACTTTATGGTGTAGTTGGAATATGTAGCCTGCTAAAATGCTCCAAAGTGGGACGCGGACCCATCAAAACCCTCTATGAAAATTCACACATAAAAATCTGAACTTGTCACGTCTCTTTTACAGCAATGTAACTTCACAAAATAGTGTCTAGGTCATACATTGGGCATCTTGTTTTACTCAGAAGATGTAACTTAGCATAATTTGGGGGATTTTACGACAGTGGCACATATCAAGTGTAAGAAATACCCAGCAAAAATGATACATGCATGTAAAACTACCATTTTGAAATGGTGAAAATGGTAACAAGTTAAGGCACAATATACACCTTCTAAAATACCCTGAGGTGTCTGCTTTCTCAAATGGAAGCCCTTTGTGGGGTTATTTGAACAGTCAAACTGCTACAATACCCCAAAATGAGAAACAGGCCCATGAAATACACCTATGAAACTTTTAACTATAAAAACTGAAATAGCCTTGTCTCTTACATGGCATTGTAGCATCACAGAATAGTGCCAAAGGCAAACAATGAGGTATTGTTATACTCAGCAGATGTAGCTGAACACAATATGGGGTTCTGTGCAGGAATAGCACACACTAGCTTTATGAATACACATTACAAAAACCTTGTTATATGTGTATATGCCAAAATAGAGAAAAAAATACAATTTTACTCCAATGTTTAGCAGAGATTGGCGATGAAATAGCTACATAAAAATTGTCAAAATAACCTCAGGTAAATAGTCTGTGATGTATACTTTATATAACTATATACTTTTGTGTGGCAATTTTGTTTTTGTGATGGCTACTAAACTTACAAACTTCTGAAATTACAATACATACAATGGTGGATCACACGTCTTGATGCGTCTAAAAAGCGACATGCACTCTATTTCCGGGTCACGTC